CCCAGGACTTCATACCTCTTGCTTCTGGCGGGCTAGCGGGGAGCTGGCAAGTGGCACTGACACTATGGTCGCCAGCCACCAGCTCCCACAGTAGGGAGCATGTGTTGGGGGCATCCTGGCTGCGGTCACACCGAGAAGCACATCACACCCGGAGCATGCTGGGACACGGGTGCCTCCAGCCCCCCATGTTGCACTGCCACTGTCCAGATGGGAGAGGGCAGACCCAGACTCGCGCCTCCCTCCCTGGACAGGTGTCGGGGTCCCTCCTGGTCAGCGGAGGGATGGGATGGCAGCAGATGGCCAGGCCCGGTCCCACACCCTGGCATGCCCTACAATCTACTCAGAGAGGGGTCCTGGGGGCAGGACCGCTCAGCTGAGAGGGGGCGTGGCTTACAGAGTGGGCGTGGTTTGACCAAGGGGTGTGGCCTGCCGGTGCTGCCCAGGGACAGCCATAAATACCCGCCTCCAGGAAAGATGCTTGGAAGCCTGACCCAAACTCCGGCGGTCGACCTCAGGCCCCTGGACGTCCAGGGTTCAAGGGCACCGGCTGCCAAGTGGGCCCTGCATGGGCAGACAGAGGTTTCTGCTGGAGTCCATCACCCATCTCAGGCCAGAGTCCACCTCCAGGTGCCCACCCGCTTTACAATGGACTAGCACCCTGCATGAGATTCTTCCCAGCCCTGCTGAGCTGAGACGCGCACATGCTGCTGAATATTTTGGGCCCTCTGGCTTTTTCTGTGGGTGTTGTGGACCCAGGAGTGCCTGGTGGAACTCGGGCTTCCTGCCTTCAAAGAATTCGTACTCGTCTCTGAAGCTACCGTGGCCTCTTCTCTGGATTTTTGTCTGGAAACACCAGAAAGAGAGAGGAAGGAGGAGAGAGAGAGAGATGGGAGGGGGGGAGGGGAGAGAGAGGGAAAGAGAGAGAGAAAGAGAGAGAGAGAGAGATGATGTTAAATGCACAGCAGGCAAAGCGCCAGGCTCAGAACAGGGAACGGCCATGTCCCCTACACTGTCAATTCTCCCTCCTTCCTACTCTCATTTTGCCGGCTCTGAGCACGCAGGCCCTTGGCGAAGGCATTCGGGGCTCTTATTCCAGAGAACAGAGACCTGGGGGCCGGGGGTAGCAGGAGGCTTCCTATACTCCAGACGGGGCCCAGCCTGGGAGGTGGCCGTGACAGAGATGCCCCTAATGGGGGTGGGGACCAGGCAAACATCCCTACCAAGGCCCACGCCCCAGCCAACGTTTCCATCTCGGGAGATCTTAGCAGGAAACACAGAACAGGCGAACAGCCGGCCCACGGCTAATTGAGTTGCAGGTGGCAGCGGAGACAGCCCATCTGACTCTGCCCAAAGTGGCCGTCAGGTGAAGAGCCGACCAGCCGCCTCTCCCAGGGAAACCAGGAAGAGAGGTGGAAAGAGCCGGGGACGTGGATGGTAGGAATGAGGAATTAGGGGAAGAAAAATCGCCCACAAAATGCAGAAACACCCCAGCACGCTTGTTTTGCCGGCCCGGCCCATGAATCGAGGGGTGACAGATCTCTCATCTCTGCTGCCAGGAGCCAGGAGCTCCAGGCAGCCGCAGGTACTACATCTGCACCTGCCAGCACTTGCAAAGAGGCGATAAAGCATCGTCTCAGGGCCTGGAATGCTAAGTGCCTGCAGCTGGGAGGGGATCGCCTTGCAGCAAGAGCGGCTCGCTGCCAGTGTCCACTGGGCGGCGACTGTCCGTCCACGGGGCTGGGCGCGCTGCCTGAGAGCTGCAAACTCTTCCGCCTCCAGCCCCGCCCGAGCACAGGGACAGGGGCAGGACCATGAGCACCATCGGGGCCCCTATGGCCACCCCCAGGCGGGGGCCGCCTCACAGCCCTGCATCTCCTGGAACAAGTCCGAGCAGGCTGGGTGATTTACAGAAGCCGCAGAAAGCCGGGAAGACGCTTGAGTCACCGGTAAATGAAGGTGGATCAAAAGGCACCTGCTCAGCTGGACCTACCGGGGCCCACGAGACGTCTGAGAACAGGACGGGAGACGGTGTTCCCCCAGCACTGCGAGCAGGTGCTGCCTGCGGGGAACTTGGTCCTCAGACTGTCCTCTGCAGCCAGTGGCCGTCGGGAAACAGAGAGGGAGGACAGGGCAGCGGGCAGCCCTGGGAGACCAGTGGGCAGCAAGACTGCCTTCCGTGTGTGTGTGTGTGTGTGTGTGTGTGTGTGTGTGTGTGTGTCGCAAAGCCAGGCCCTGGCCGCTATAGCAAGGTGGCCTATGAGCAGCCCTGGTCAGCTGGCTGGCCAGCACCTTCCTATGTATCACTCCCCCTCCCAGGATGCAGCCTTCTGCCTCCCCGGCCCCCACCTCCCTTCCGCCTCATCAGCTGCTGGAGGATCTCTGAGCTCCCCCACCAGGTGAAAGGGCGCCCTACAGGGTGCCAGAATCAGGTGTGAAGTCTCAGAATATCTGCATCCACACCCCCAGCTCTGCACATTCCAACGTGTCCCTGGGGGGAAGGCCTAGGCCGGAAGTTTTTCCAAGGTGCCGGTGCCAGGGTGGCCTCAGAGGAATAGCACAGGGTTCAGAGCACTGGCACGGCGACAAGTTCCCAACCCCCGTGTCCCACATGAGCCCAGCCCTGATCTGGGATGCAGGGAAGGTGACTTCCAGCAGGCCCGCAGCCAGGCGGCTGTGAGCCCCCCACAATGGGATGTGACTGCCCCCACCCCATCAACACCTGGGACGGTGAAGGGAAGGGGGAGGGGAGGGGAGGAAGGGAGAGGGCATGAAGCTATGAAAGGGATGAAACGGATTAAAGGCAAAGGAGGAAGAAACACCCGCATGGGTAACAAACTGCATGAAAGGAAAAGCGAGTGGGCAAGGCGGACTCGTGTGTGTGTGTGTGTGTGTGTGTGTGTGTGTGTGTGTGTGTTTGTGTGTGTGAGCGCGTGCACTGCTGCAGTGTCAGCTTGTCCTGCAAAGCCAAGGATGGGATTCCAGACTGCCCACAGAAAAGGCACGCTCAATCCACTCCCTGGACCAGCAGAGGCACATTAGAGAGTGCGGGGGCCAGCCCTGGGGGAGAGAGGCAGCTGGCCACCCACAGCCCCATGGACAGGCTTCCAGAGACAAGCCATCTCCCTCTCCCTGAGCTCTCAAGTGCGGTGGGCACTGGCCAAGACTGGTGGAAACAGACCCAGCCCAGACTGGACAAGAATCAGGCTGGGGCAGATTAACAACACAGAGGTTCCCAAACTTAAAACAAAAATAAAAAGGTCACTCAGTGCAGATGGAAGGAAAGCGAGAACGGGGGTTACGGTACTTGCCTTGCATGCAGTCAATCTGGGTTTGATCCCCAGCACCCCATAGAGTCCACTGAGCACTGCCAGGAGTGAGCCCTGAGCACAGAGCCAGGAGTAAGGCCTGAATACTGCTGGGTGTGGCCCCCAAACAAACCATTCAACCACCTGGAAATCTACCTGCTTTAAATGACCGACCAGAAAGCTTCCCCGACTCCAATGACCCCTAGACCACGACCAGCGCCTGGACTGTTGCAGCCTTTCGGACGAATGCCCTTCCCCTTGGCTCTTCCTTCGGAAATCTTCCATCCAATGAGTAACTCCCTCCCCTGCCCACCTACCACCTCTTCCCTCGCAGTATTTGACCTGGAGCTCCGTCTCTCTCCTTCATTGCAAGAGTCCTGGTTAAAGTCTTCCTAGCCACTTTAGCACGCGGTAGAAAAGTTTTTTCCCTGAGTCCTCCCCCTCTGTCCCTGCCACCCCACCAAACAGATCACCCCACAGGGAGGAGCTGGCACTACTGCCACCAAACACGATTTAAAATTCTTCACATTCGTGGGCTGGAGCGATAGCACAGTGGGTAGGGCGTTTGCCTTGCACACAGCCAACATGGCCAACACAGGTTCGATTCCCAGCATCCCATATGGTCCCCCGAGCACCGCCAGGAGCAATTCCTGATTGCATGAGCCAGGAGTAACCCGTGAGCATCGCCGGGTGTGACCCAAAAAGCAATAAATAAATAAAATAAAATAAAATTCTTCACATTAGGGCTGAGCCATGACTCCCAGGCCTGATGCTGGGCTCAGCCTTCTATGTCCCAGCCTTGCACCCCACACCCGGCCAAACTAGAAGCTTCCCTATTCTCGAACCCCTCTGAGCGTGGCTTCCATCCTGCCTGTGCCCAGGTCTTTGTGTCTCTCATCTTCTCCCACTCTGCTCCAAGTGACAGCAATCTCTCTCTCAGGGCTGTGGCTACTTACTCCCAAGGATTCATTTCCCTGGGGTTCCCGTAACTACAGAACCCCCTGTTTCAGCTGGGATCTTGGGGACAAAGACGATACTGAAAGACTACGTTTCCCAGACTCCTTTGAGGCTGAAGAGGTCACATGCCCAAGTTCTGACCAATAAGAACTGAGTGCTCCCAGGTACCAGGAAGAAGTCGCTCCTCTACTGCTCTTTCCCTGATGGAGTGGATGGGGCCCCACTATCCATCTTGGGTGAGAGGTGCTGTTGAATGTGGAAGTGACACGAGGTGGCTGGACGGCACGAAGCATGACCCAGCCCTAGTCCTAGCCTCTCCAGACTTGACTGTGAGGGAAGAACGACCCTTCATCTTCCTTAAGCTAGTGCTCTTCTGGAATTTTCTGTAACTTGCAGATAACTTAATACTCTGAGTCCCCCTTTCAACCCTCTGGAGACAAGAGTCCTGGGCTCCCGGATTTGCCATAAGAAACTGCTTATCAGCATTCCTTGCATCTTCTTCCAAGTGAAACAGAAAGCAGTCTGGAGGCCGGGATTGGTCTTAGCCGTTTTCCTCTCGCCCTGCCAAGCAGGACGGCTCGAATACAAAGCACAGCTGACAACCGAGAGGCAGTCAGCTGGCCAGACTGCATGAGGTCCTCAGCGGGACCCGGGAGTGACACAGCCCAGATAGCTGCCCCGCACCCCGCACCCTCCAGGGCTGCTCACGCCCACCTGCCTCCCTGGAAACCGCCTTACCAAGATGTCAGAGCCCTCAGCATCCTTCCCTGGCGCGGGGCTGGAGCAGTTGCTGAATTTAAATATCCAGTACTCCTTGGCAGTGACAAAGAAGTTCCAGGGCAGCAGTCCACCAATGCCCAGGCTGAAGAAGATGAGGTAGGCGCCATTGAAGCGGTCTCCCGGCCTCTGCAAGACGGGAGGGGGGCTGTCCAGCAGTTTCTCCAGCAGCGCCTCCTGGTCGGCGAGGAGACTGCTGCCCGCGGGTCTGTAGGTGGAGTTTGTACTGTGATGAAAAGCGTCCTCTGGAACAACGGCCACTGAAGGAGCAGAAAGGAAGAGTTTGTTAGGTGATGCTTCACCCAACACACAGAGCAAGCTGGCTGAGCCCCCGCCCAAGGGCCTCTGGGCACCCTCTCCCCACCCCCAGAGGGTCTGGACAACTTCAGGTTTAAGAATCAGGGAGAAGGGGCTGGAGCGATAGCACAGCGGGTAGGGACATTTGCCTTGCACGCGGCCGACCCGGGTTCGATTCCCAGCATCCCACACGGTCCCCCAAGCACCACCAGGAGTAATTCCTGAGTGCAGAGCCAGGAGTAAACCCTGTGCATCACCGGGTGAGACCCAAAAAGTACACCTCCCTCCCCAAAAAAAAAGAATCAGGGAGAAAGATGGGTTTGCCCGGGCTCAGGGGGTCCCACACCTGCATGCACAGCCCAGGGATAAGCAAACACGAGGCATGCAAGGGAGTGTGTGCAGAGGGCACGGGAGCCAAGGTAGCTGTTCTCCAAAGGTCTGGCCACTGTCAAGGCGGCCAAATGCCCATGCAACCATCAAAACGGAAGTAGAACTCTGAGGGCCGAGGGCCCTCTACGCTCTTTCAATGTTAAGAGACCGGTAAGAAGCTGTGCGTGCGTGCGTGCGTGTGTGTGTGTGTGTGTGTGTGTGTGTGTGTGTGTGTGTCTGTGCGCGCGCGCATGCCTGCACTCCTGGGGATCAAACCCAGGGCCTCTGGCTAGCAAGGAAAGCGTGAGCGTTTGTATTTGTATATTTGGGTGAAGAGAGAAAGGGAAACAGTAGTCGCGCTGAGGCGGAAGGCATCTCGCCTTATTCTCCACCTGCCTTTACAGCTGTGTGAACGACGGGCGTTTCAGACCAGCCCCCACTTAAAAGTTGAGCCCAAAAATAAAGGCACATACATGGAATTGCGTGGATTAGGAGAAAAACCATAACGCATGGTAGCGAGAGCTGCTCCTGGTTGACATCACCCACCCACCCGCCCACCCCTCATTCCACGGGTGGTGGAGCACAGCTACAAGTTGGAAGAGCTGACGGCGGGCACGGGGAGACCCGGGTGTCCTCTTCCATCCCCGCATCTGTCCAGGGGCCAGCCAAGAGGCAGCGCCGCCTGCCACCTCCGACCAGCCCGACACACCAAGGACCCCGGGCAGGAGGAAGGCTGGCCTCCGCTCCTCGGCAGGCCCAGAGAAGCCTTTCCGGAGGATTCTGGAACTGGCCCCATTGGGCAAGGCCGCAGCTGTGGAGTGTCAGCGTTCCCGCCGCCCTGTCACCTGGCTGGCTGGCTGTGAGGGGGCGGCTCTTTTTCTGCTCTGTATAGCACTCAGGACGCGGCGGCGTGATAGATGGGAGAGATTTCCATGATGCTGAGGCTGGGACACGCTGGTGTCCCTTCAGCGGGAGCCTCCTGAGGAATCAGACAGGAACCGCATCTCCGCTCATGTGAGGGTCCGATGCTTTGGTGGGGCCACGTGGCGCCTCCCCGCCATGGAGGAACAGACCCGTCACACGCATTCAGGGTCTGGTTGCTACTTAATTCCCCCCAACCCCACCACTTATCTTTTTCTAGAGGCCACGCCAGGTGAGGCTTGGCTTGGTGCTGGGGGTCTGCGTGCCAGGGTCATAGCTGACCGCGCTGGGGGGGAGGAGGGGGGACCGGGAATAGAACTGAGGCCTCCACCTGCCAGGAAGATGCTGGACGGCTCGAGCCATCTCCCCCACACCTGCCTGGCTTCCACTTTCCGAGCCCCTCACAGCATTCGTTGGCATTGGCAGGGCAGGAATTCCTGCTTCCTCTTTTCAAAGGTCAAGGATGAGAGCTCAGGTCATGAAGATCGCTCAAAGGGCAGGAGCAGCACGCGGGAGGCCCCAGGACCATGCAGCCCCCTACGCACTGGCCTGAAGTAATCCCTGCCCCCTGGGTCTGCCCCCGAACTGAGCACCACCAAGCCACAAAAAGAGAACAAGGCCTTCGATTTGTCCCGTGGGGGCAGAGAGCACTGCCTGTCCACGCCTCTGGGTTCTCCCGAAACTAGATCAACATCAGGTAGATTAGCGGGAGAAAAGAACACATGTAATTACATGCGTGTGGAAATTTTACATGGATGTACATTCTGAAATAAATGGAGCAAAGCGAGGAGATTTATCCTGAGCTAAGGAATGGGCCAAGATTCAGAGACTATAAAATCCAGCTCCTGGACGAGAACAGTGCAGTCTCCTGCCCCCGCGCCTGGCTGTTCCTTGCCGGGGCCCCTTGGAGGGGAGCGGGTTGAGCTTTCCTCCCCGCCCCGACCAGGGCTCCGGCAGCCGAAGACCTCCAGGACCAGCCACCACCATGCTGAGACCACTCTCCGCACACAGGAAGGTACTGGCAGAGGGACAAAGCCACGCGGGTTCCGGGGCCGAGACCTCCAAGCCTACTCGAATTGGAGTCGAGCATCTTCCACCCAGATCCTCCAAATTCCAGTAGGCGGAGGTCACACCCACCACCTGGCCCCCTGGAGCCGTGTAATCCCATCAGAGACTCAGAGACTATAAAACCCAGCTCCCGAAAGGCGGCTGTGTGACATCTTATCATCTCATTCCTACTTTGGACAAACTTGCAGGCTATCGAATGTAGCCTGCCCACAGGGCAGAGTCTGGCAAACTCCCCGTGGCGTACCAAATATGCCAAATACCAGTAACAATGATGGGTCTCATTCTCCTAAAGAGCCTTGAATATAATCTCAGGGCTAGGATGAAGGAGACGTTACTGGGGCCTGCTCGAGGCAATCGACGGTTAACAGGATGATGAAATGAAAAAAAATGAAAAAGGAACGGGGTGGGGAGCCTGGGGTGGCGAGGAATGGGAGGGCACTCGCAGGGTGAGGGCTCCAATGACAAAGGCCAGACAGGCTGTAATGACATGTTGGTTCTTCCTATAGAGACATTTCCTCCACAAAAAGGTTGCATTTGTCTCGGTTCAAAACAGAAGCATGGGCTAGAGCGATAGCACGGCGGGTAGGGCGCTTGCCTTGCACGCAGCTGACCCGGGTTCGATCCTCGGCATCCCATATGGTCCCCCAAGCACCGCCAGGAGTAATTCCTGAGTGCAGAGCCAGGAGTAACCCCTGTGCATTGCCGGGTGTGCCCCCCACCCACCAGAAAAAAAGAAAAAAAATAGAAGCCTACTTCCGGGCAATGGCCCTGATTTTCATTCCTCCAGGAAGGGCAGCGGGAAGGCCAGGGGAACAGCTGGGCAGGCTAGCAAGCGAACTTTGTCCGCTGGAGTAGCGGACCTGATTCTGGGCACCACCTGGCACCCACAGACACTGTCAAGTGAGTTTCCCAGAGCACCACCGAGTATGATCACCCCCAGACCGGAACAGGCAGGACTATCGTCATCAGACTGGGGGGACCACACGGTGGGCAGAGCACGCTCTGTCACGCTGGAGCCCAGGCTAGACCCCCAACCCTGCACGGGCCCCCGAGCGACCCCCTCGCCCTGACTGGGAATAATCCTCCAGCTCCATTGTTGGCCCTTCCTCCTTGGCCCCCCAAAAAGAAGAGCTGAAAGTCTCTTTTGAGCCCGAAAGTGCTCCATGGGCCTCAGTTTCAGACACACCGCTGTTACAACAATGCATCCAGAGACCTGCTCTGAAAGGGAGCAAGCCCTCAGTCCCACACAACAAAGGTAAAGACTCCAGTCATTAAAATGAAACCCGGGCTAAGGTCTGCACAGATGAAGAGGCTGAGGCTCAGAGAGGGTGAGTGACTTGCCCCCGGTCACACAGTGAACAGACGGCAAGAGTGGGGTTACACAGCCAGGAGCACGTGAGCTCTCAGGGACAGGGCAAGTGTCCGCTCGCTCCAAGCACCGACCCCCTCCGGTCAGGCCTGGAAGCCAGGGGGCTGGAGCAGAGGGACAGTGCGCAGGGCCCTCTGGCCAATGAGGGGGTCCTGCGGCCAGGACACTGTCCCTCACTGGGGACAGACGCCCACGCTCGGAGCGACAATTCTTGGGAGAGGAGCCCAGCCCTAGTCTTTTCTTTTCTTTTTCCTTTTTAATTAAGGCACCGTGATTTACACAGTTACTCAGAGCTGAGTTTCAGCAACGTTCCAGCACCCAACCCACCCCCAGGGCCGGTTTCCCTCACCAGTTTCCCTCCCACCCCCCAGCTGACCCCCACATTTTCTTTCCCTTGTTTTTGCTTTGTTTTTGAACCGCACCTTGTGGTGCTCAGGGCTTACTCCTGGCTCTGTGCTAAGGGATCACTCTTGGCAGTGCTCGGGATCGAACCCGGGTCGGCCACGTGCAAGACAAGTGCCCTCCCCACTGTGCCGTCACTCTGGCCCCTCCAGACCTAGTCTTGATTCCCAGGGAATCAAGAACCAACAGACCAGACTTTGTGTGCAGACACTCTGACATATCCTCTGGCCACGTGTGCACATGACGCACACACGCACACACAGGCACACACTCACATTCATACACCTGTACACACATGCACGTACCCACGCGCCACACTCTCTCACACACACACTTGCTCTGTGTTTGGAAATGTAAGCCGGGCCTGAGAGATGCCCAGGGACCAGGTCTCCCAGGCAGGCTGCGACCTGAGCTCACCTGAGCTCACCTGAGCTCACTTCTCCGTCCTGCAT